CTGTAGTCCCAGCTACTTGGGAGGCTGAGGCAGGAGACTCGCTTGAGCCCAGGAGTTGGAGGTTGCTGTGAGCTGTGAGGCCATAGCACTCTACCCAGGGGGATAGCTTGAGACTCCATCTCAAAAAAAAAAAATAATAATAATAAAAGCAAAAAAAATTAAAAAGAAAAAGAATCTATACATCTGAGGAACTTCCTAGGAGGGCTTTGAAAGGAGAAAAACAGAGTCTGTTGCTTCGCCTTAAGGTCACCAGAAACCTTTACTCCCCAAACTTAGCATCTTGTTTTTTAGTATCATTAATTTTTACTTTATAGTTAGAAAATCTTATGCATGTATTTGTTAGACTTACTGACGCCAGATGGCATTCTTGAGAAATCAGTAGATTATAGATTAACTATTTGTACGTGCTGTGTGGCAGTAAAGATCCCTCATATAAGCATGAAAGAAATAAAGGTTTTTTGCTACTTGCCTGAGTGAGCAGTAGTCACCTTACTCTTTAGAGACATTCTGATTGCTAGTTTATCTCTGTGACTCCAGCCCAAACAATTTACAGCAACAAACTGTAGAAGGGGTGTAACGAACCATTCCAGGACACTGTTCATATTAGTTTTTTTTTCTTTTCTTGCAGGTTTTGGCTGGGGCCAGCGCCCCACTCCTTTGAGCCATAGGTGCCACCCCATATTAGTTTTTATGCATGGCATTTGCTAGAGTTGTGTAGTGTATAGCCACATGTGTCCACCCTGAGTGTTGGTGTTCTGACTGAGAGCAGGAAGACTGAGTGGAGAAAGTAGGAGATGTGGAGGGCTTGTAGGAAACTTGGAGTAGGAATGGAGGCAAAGGATAACTCTAGCTTTCCTAATTCTCATCCAATGTGTGTGTTATTACCTAGCCCAGACACTGAGGCCCATGTGGCTTTAGACCTCCTAACCTCAGTTTCCAGTAAAAACATACTCTTGTTGTGCAAATGCAGCCCCAATATAAACCTTCAAGTACTACCTGATTGTGTTCTCTAAGTTCCTCCATAAGGAAATTCTAGAGCCATCACTGTGTTTTGGGGGGATCTGGGTTAAGACTTGAGGAGACCTTGGGATTAGTCTGGAGAATATGATGGACTCAACTTTCAGATGAGCTGGGTACAAGTGAATCCAGTATTGGTTTTTGTTTTTGGGTGGTCTGTTTTGAGGAAGGGCCTACTCTGGGTGGAATGCTCCCATACTCTGACCTGAAAGTGAAGAAACATTCCTGGCTTGAAATACTGGGGTGTCCTGGTGAACTTGATGTTTCATGGGCTCTGAACAATCTTCACTCCTGAGATCTCAGTCTGGACCATTTCACCCCCTGTAGAGACAGGGCACCATAGAGTCTGCAGAAAGGGGTCAATTCCCTGGGTGTGTGGTGGGACTGTTATGGGAGCCCCATCTTGGTGAAGGCAAGGAAAGACAACACCATTCCAGATTCTTCCAGCTCTTCTAGTGTTTTCCCACTTGTCTTATGAGGAAACTGAGGCTAGGGGGTGGGAAGAGTGTCTGGGCTGGAAAATAACACTATGTCCTGGTCTCAGCCAGGGGCCAGGGTTAGAGTGGCACCTGAGGAGAATATGGTGACATTGACAAAGATTGAGGCCCCAATAAAGTCCTCTTCTGGGCCTTGGAATGTGGCCATCAGTATGTCCTTCTGGAGGGAGATGTGGCCCCGACCATCAGAGACCTGTTCTTAGGGGAAGAGATAGGAAGAGGAGATGACTTCTGGGGAATAATGGAAGTTAGACTGTGTGTGTAGCGGGGAAAGAGGGGCCAGGATTCAGTCACCTCCACCCTCTGTAGGGAGCTTTGGATAGGGATCCGGCAGGAATCCAGCTTCATCCCGATGATGGCCAGAGCATGTCCCTCCACTGGCTTGTTGAATATATACCTAGAGGAGGGAGCGTCATTCTGCTAGCTATGAAGCACCCACATATCTCATGGGGCTGCAGAGACAGCTGTTCAACTTTGGGAGGGGCAGAGGTGACCTTTGGGAACTTAGACAATTTCTTTGCTGCCCCACACTGGGAAGTGACAAATATGTTCCATAAAGCCTTAGGGGTTGGCTCGGCGCCTGTGGCTCAAGTGGCTAAGGTGCCAGCCACAGACACCTGAGTTGGCGGGTTCAAATCCAGCCCGGGCCTGCCAGACAGCAATGACGGCTGCAACCAAAAAATAGCCGGGCGTGTGGCGGGCGCCTGTAGTCCCTGCTACTTGGGATGCAGAGGCAGGAGAATTGCTTGAGCCCAGGAGTTGGAGGTTGCTGTGAACTGTGATGCCATGGCATTCTACCCAGGGTGACAGCTTGAGGCTCTGTCTCAAAAAAAAAAAAAAAAAAAAACCTTAAAGGTTGCAGATATGGTTTTTGCTATCTTATAGCAAAGGATGGTAGAGTAGCCTTATAGCCATATGGAGCCACACAGGCGTCTGGACAACCCATGAGGTAGCAGAGCCGGCCTGTACAGCTTCACTGGGAAGACTGGGTGGCCTGTCTCAAAGACCACCTGTGGCTTGTGGCATATTAGAGCAGTGGGAATGATCTGTATAATGTTCAGAAGTGGCAGGCATACCCCATACAACCTCAGGGGGACAGCATGGCCTATAAAACCTCATAGAGCTGGGAGGCGCCTGTGGCTCAGTGAGTAGGGCGCCGGCCCCATATACCGAGGGTGGCGAGTTCAAACCCAGCCCCGGCCAAACTGCAACAAAAAATAGCCGGGCGTTGTGGCGGGCGCCTGTAGTCCCAGCTACTTGGGAGGCTGAGGCAGAAGAATCGCCTAAGCCCAGGAGTTGGAGGTTGCTGGAGCGACTCTGCTGCACTCTACCAAGGGCGAAAAAGTGAGACTCTGTCTCTACAAAAAAAAAAAAAAAAACCTCATAGAGCTGGGGACATGGTCTGAAAAGGTCGTATGATGGGGCAAACGTAGGTTTGCCACCCCATAGTGCCACAACCTCATGATGGCAAAGGTGACCGGTACCATTTCATGCTCTTTCAGAGATGGTCCAAATGGTGAGGTGGCAGATGAGATAAGACAACTCATTAGGTAGACAAAGTTGTCTGTATAATCTCATAGGCTTGAAGTGTATATGACCTCCCAGATGGCAGGGTGTGGTCTATACAACCCACGGGACAACATAGGTGGCCTAGAATGTCTCATGGGTGACAGAAGAGCATCTCTACTACCGTAAGTGCTATAGAAGTGGCCTGCTTCTCTCTACTCATTCAGCTTTCTGTGCTTCCAGTCCTTTGGTAAGGATGGGGATGAGGAAGCTCACGGGGCCTGAATGTCAACACCCAGAGCCTGATCCTTGAGGTAGAAGAAAGTCTTGTTTGGAATCAGCTGGACATCAGAAGATGGCAGGACTGGGGAAAATAAAAACCATAGGCATCCTCAGCATTGTACCTTGCCTCCTTGTACCCTCCCTGTCCTGCCCCTTCCTCGGTGACTCTGGCAACCTCCAATAGCTGGAATATGCATTCCTGTTGACCAGCACCCGGCTCAGGTCCTGGGGCACTGTGCCATCAGCTCCTGCCTCCCCCATAGATTCCCTTCCACAACTAGTTCCTGTTCCTCTCATGTCCTGTCTTGCCCTCTATGCCCACATGCTTCTCACCATACTCCTTCACGTCGAAGGTGGCCTTGAACTTCTGCTTGGGCGCACTTGGATAACTGGCTTCAATGGTCCAGGTCCCAAAACTGAGGCACAGAAAGTTAGGAGAGACGGAGACAGAGCACATTAGTCTCCCACTGGAACCTCAACGTAATTTCGAGTGCCATTGATTTATGCTTGAAGAAACCTTTCCAGAGTCCATGTGAAGGGATGTTCTTTTGAGGACACTCCTAAGTGGTTAGAAAGCTAATCATGCAGGAGGCAGACCCTGAAGGCAGAGTCTGATTATCTCTGGAATTTCCTGGAAGGGACCTGGGGAGGGGAGAATCAAGATAAGTCAATGTGCATTTTTAGCTAAAGGTCACATCTGTTTTTTCCAGATAAATAGTGGATTAAGTTTAAGATTACTTTGTACTTCTTTTAAGTTACTGTCCATTCTTATCATATAAGCCATTTATCACCAGCTTATTTACTGTTATGATGTAAACATGCAGAACAATGTATGGTTAGAGTATATAAGCTTGTAAAAAATAAAGTGAAAGGGCTACATGCCTGAGCGAGCTGTAGTCCCCACTTCTCTGTACATTCTGACTGCTGATCTTATCCCTGTGACTGCCACCAGAACATTTCCAGCAACATTCCACACCATCCCTTGGGCTCCCAGCAAGACACCTGAGAAGCTCTGGGAGGTCAAACGAGCTAAAGAAAATGCCTTCCCTGGCCAGGAACATATGGCTAATCATAGTCACTCCCTCTGGGTTCTGTGGGAACAGAGGAGGGGCTGGTGACTCCCCTCTAGAAGGGCCCCAGCAGTCCATGCCTCTACACTTCAGCA